GCTCTGACATGTAACTCTGATACACCCTGACATGTAACTCTGATACACACTGACACGTAACTCTGATACACCCTGATACGTAACTCTGATACACCCTGACATGTAACTCTGATACACCCTGACATGTAACTCTGACACCCTGACACGTAACTCAAATACACCTTGACATGTAACTCTGATACACCCTGACACGTAACTCTGATACACCTTGACATGTAACTCTGATACACCCTGACATGTAACTCTGATACATCCTGGCATGTAACTCTGATACACCTTGACATGTAACTCTGATACACCCTAACACGTAACTCTGATACACCCTGGCACGTAACTCTGATACACCCTGACACGTAACTCTGATACACCCTGACACGTAACTCTGATACACCCTGACACGTAACTCTGATACACCCTGACACGTAACTCTGATACACCCTGGCACGTAACTCTGATACACCCTGACATGTAACTCTGATACACCTTGACATGTAACTCTGATACACCCTGACACGTAACTCTGATACACCCTAACACGTAACTCTGATAACCCTGACACGTAACTCTGATACACCTGACAGTAACTCTGATACACCCTGACATGTAACTCTGATACACCTTGACATGTAACTCTGATACACCCTGACATGTAACTCTGATACGTGTCACACGCAACGTAATATTACCGTAATTGGTATAGTACAGGTGTGATGGTTCAAATACCAAAATGGCAACAGTAACAAAAAGACTTCCCTGGGGGCGATGATAAAATACGAACACGGAGCCAACAGATGAGGTTTCAACTGGTACTGGTATTATTATACTCTGCAAACATCAAGTACAACAACGCGGTAAAACTCCATTACTCCAATAACTAGATACTTAAACTCCAATACAATTCAACGAGATCTCCGATCTGACCTCAGTGCTGAACAACTCCCCTATATATACCCACACTGTCTATAAATAGACCATTACATCAGCATATATAATGAGTCTGGAACTTACTACCAATTTCTAGAATGTTCCATTACCTTCTATTGCCTCATACAGTGTTCTATTACCTATTCAACCAGTTTCTAAACAAAATCTAGAATATTCCACCCAGACAAAGTACGGTTCTAGAACATTCTCAGTGACACGGGAGTGGTAAACAAGTCGTATGCGACAATACACCTTGACATGTAACTCTGATACACCCTGACACGTAACTCTGATACACCTTGACAAGTAACTCTGATACACCCTGACATGTAACTCTGATACACCTTGACATGTAACTCTGATACACCCTGACATGTAACTCTGATACGTGTCACACGCAACGTAATATTACCGTAATTGGTATAGTACAGTGTGATGGTTCAAATACCAAAATGGCAACAGTACAAA